CATATTCTTAGTCTTTTTTTCTGAATATTTTTTGTTCATCTAAATATATTTATTTTTTATTATTATTTCTTACATACATGATGATAATGGAGTGCATTACATTCATAATTATCCATTCACAGGACAATTTTTCGTAACTCTGTATATAAAGTATGTTCACGCCAAATTATGCCATTATACATGAGCTCTCTCTCTCTCTCTCTTTTTTTTTTTTTTGCATTACAATTCTTAATACATCTTTATACCACAATTTGTCATATCTCTGTTTGTATATAAGGTCTATTGACATCAAATTCACATCTTCATGTATAATGATGACCATCTCCTTCCACATCCATGCTATTCCCCTTCTCCCTCCCTTTCCCTCCCACCCCTATTCCCTATCTAGAAGTAATTTTCCACCCATGCTCTCCCTCCTTACCCCACTTTGAGTCACCCTCCCTTATATCAGAGAAAACATTTGGCATTTGTTTTTTGAGGGGATTGGCTAACTTCACTTAGCATAATCTTCTCTAATGCCATCCATTAAATCTATTTTTCTTTACAAAATAAAAGCAGTCAGGCATGGTGAGGCACACCTCTAATCCCAGCTACTTGGGGAGGTTGAGCAGGAGGATTACAAGTTCAAGTCCAGCCTAGGCAATTTAGCCAAATCCTGTTTTGAAATAAAAATGTAAAAAATAAAAAGGATTGGCTGCAATTGTGTACAATTAATCAAAATGCCTTTTGCTTTCATATACGTCTAATTAAAATAAAAAGTATTGGGGATGTAGCTCAGACTGTGAGGATGTTGACACTTCAGGAAAATAAGAAGTGTTTGTGTTTTGTTTGGGGTGTCCTCATACATTCTAAGCATACGATCTACCACTGAGCTACACATCCTCTGTCCAAGAATTTTAAAAAATTCATAATGCAAAAGCAAATGCAGCTTGTTCCAGGGAACCCAGCTTGTCACCTCTGTCCCCTCAGGCCCTGTTCTGGTCTTGTGGATGTCTTGTTTGATCCACTATAAGGTTGTTGCTCTCATGTCTGAGGCCAGTCAGAAAACATACTATAGGCTATTGGGCCCTCAGACCAAGGTGGACGAGTGGAGGCTACATTTGGTTTGAGTTTTCCATAAGGTCTCCCATGGTCTTTTTGGCCTGGAGGTGGTGTTCCCCAGGGGAACTGAGGTCCATAATACAATGCCCACTGCTTTGATCCTATCAGGAGCCTATTGTTTGCCCCTGTTCTGCTGAATGATTTTCCTTCATAAAAACAATGGTGACAGGATGATGATGCATGTTTGCTCGTGGCACACTGTGACATACTGGGCCACCTGCCATTATATATTTTGCTCTTCCTAACCAGGGACTTTTGTAAGCAGTTGATCATCAAGGTTTACAGTTACACAATCCTCTGGGAGCTGTACATGATGCTGTTTAAATTCCAGTGGAAAATAGTTCTCAGAATTTCCATTCTGAGTGACATTCATTGTAGTAGGAGTAGCAGTCAAAAGATACTGTACATTCCCATCATTTCACTTATTATTAACAGTCAGTCCAGTTTCTCATCTTAGCATGGTTGGTGCTAAGGTTTGAGTGTGGTTTGTCCACTGATGGCTCATGTACTGGAGTCTTGGTCCCCAGTGTGACATTATTAAGAGGTGGTGGAACCTTTAAGAGGTGGAGCCTAGTGGGAGGTGCTTAGGTCATTGGAGGAATTGCCCTCTGAAGGGATTAATGCCAGCCTCCTTAGTTCTAAAGGGAGCAAATTATCACAAAAGAGCAAGTGTAGCCCTTATATCACTCTCACTTCCTGTCTTACTATGTGATCTCCCCTCAGCTCCATAAATGCTCCCACCATGATGCCATCTGCCATGTTGGGACACAGTCAAGGAAGCCCTTCCCAGAAGCTGAGCAGATTGGATTATCCTTTCAGTCTCCAAAACTGAGCTAAATAAAGCACTTTTTCTTTATAAAGCACTCAACCTGAGTTATTTTGTTATACCAACAAAAAATGGACTAATAATTTAAAAAATCATGTGACCAGAATGTCTCCCAGAGTGATGTCACCTAGATTTGCAGACTGCCATTCAACCTTATCAGGATCAAAAGCAGGCATGATGCCAGCCAGACTTCACCTTTCTGGGTGTCTGGTCTAATTGTGCTAAGAGATAATATTATTCTGTGTATTGGAATGCATCTTTCTTTTGAATGTTGGATTTTCCTTTGCTGCATTGCCCACTAATTTATTTCTTTACCCTTAGCTATTATTTATCCTTCTCTCTGTCATTATTTTTACCCAAACTTTGCCACCTTCGTCAGGGACACTAGGCTGAGACACTGTGCTGGTCCAGATTGCTTGTAGTAATACCAGTCTATCCAGTTCCTCCTGCTCAGTTTATCCCCACTCATTTAGAGGAGGGCTGCATAGGTAGAGATTTCTGGGACCTTCCAACCACCAGCAGCCCCATAGCATTCTCAGTGGAACCCAACTTTCCAGATGTGTAAAGGCACAACCTGCCCCATCAGGCCTTTAAGAACCCTGACATGAAGGTTTAAAGGAGTAGCCTCACTTAGAAATCACCCCTGCTGCTGGGATTTGAATGTTTCCCCCAACGTTTCTATGTTGAGACAATCATCAATGTGACAGTGTGAAGAGGGCCTTGCTGGGAGGGGTGGCACACACCTGTAATCCAGCAACTGGGGAGGCTGAGGTAGGAGGATTGCCAGTTCGACGCCAGCTTGCCATTGAGTAAGACTCTGTTTCCAAATAAAAGGGGAGGGGTTTCCTGGGGATGTAACAAAAAGGTAAACCACCGCTGGGTTCTGTTCCCAGTATCAAAAAAGAAAGAGAAGGGAAGGAAGGAAGGAAGGAAGGAAGGAAGGAAGGAAGGGGGAGGGAGGGGGGAGGGAAGGAAGGGGGAGGGAGGGGGGAGGGAAGGAAGGAGAGACAGGGCCCTAGGAGGTGAGCAAGCCCACCTGGATGAATGGGATTAGAACCCTTATAAAAGGGGTTGCGGTGGGTTCTCTGGCTTCTGCTCTTACACCATGTGAGGACACAAGCAAGAAGACCCTCCCCAGATGCCAGATGCCAGTGCCTTGGTCTTGGGCTTTCCCAGCCTCCAGAGCTCTAAGAAGTAAATTTCTATCTGAATCAAGAACAGTGTTCCAATCCCTGCACACCTGGGAGAGGGCTCTTCTGATGGGCACTGACACTCTAATGCTTAATTTCAATTTCTACAGTGATTTCCATAGGACTGAGCCTCTCACGGCCATCCCTTTCTGCCAGACCCTATGACCAGAGAAATGCAAATTAAAACCACTCTAAGATTTCCTCTCACTCCAGTCAGAATGGCAGCTATTATGCATACAAACAAAAATAAGTGTTGGTGAGGGTGTGGGGAATAAGGCACGGTGGGACTGCAAATTGATGCAGCCAATATGGAAAGAAGTATGGAGATTCCTTGGAAAATTGGGAATGCAACCACCACTTGACCCAGCTGTCCATCTCCTCTGTCTATACCCAAAGGACTTAAAAACAGCATACTACAGGGACAGTCATATCAGTGTTTATAGCAGCACAATTCACAATAGCTAAACTGTGGAACCAACCTAGATGCCCCTCAGTAGATGAATGGATAAAATAAATGTGGCATATATACACAATGGAATATTACTCAGTAATAAAAGAGAATAAAATCATAGCATTTGCAGGTAAATGGATGGAGTTAGAGAAGATAACTCTAAGTGAAGTTAGCCAATCCCAAATAACCAAATGTTGAATGTTTTCTTTGATATAAGGAAGCTGATTCATAGTGAGATAGGGAGCCGGAACATGGGAGGACTAGAGGAACTCTAGATAGGGCAGAGGGATTGGAGGGGAATGGGAGGGGGCATGGGGTAATTAGTAATGGTAGAATGTGGTGATCATTACTATCCAAAGTACATGTATGAAGACACTAATTGGTGTGAATATACTTTGTATACAACCAGAGATATGAAAAATTGTGCTCTATATATGTAATAAGAATTGTAATGCATTCTGATGTCATATATAAGTAAAAAATTTACATTAAAAAAAAACTTTTCAGTCTTCTGTAAGTCTCCATATGCCTTCTGCTTCTTTAGGGTCCCCACAGGGCTACCATACAGAGGATTTGTTGTACCAATACTCTAGCTTCTGAAAGTGGTCTCTCTTTGCTCACAGGTATCCCATATTTTTTTTTTTTAAAGAGAGAGTGAGAGAGAAAGAGAGAGACAGAATTTTTTTAATATTTATTTTTTAGTTTTCGGCAGACACAACATCTTTGTTTGTATGTGGTGCTGAGGATCGAACCTGGGCCGCACACATGCCAGGTGAGCGCGCTACTGCTTGAGCCACATCCCCAGCCCCTCCATGTTGTTTTAAATCAACCACCTGGACTTGAGGAGTTACAGAGCTTCTCATTTAGGCTCTCAATTAAGACTGGCCTAAGGCCTAAGAGCAGACTTACCTAGGCCTAGTTCTTCCTCTTTCTGTAGGGCTTTTTTTTTTTTTCCTGTAGCAGAGGTTGAACTCAGGGGTGTTTAACGACTGAGCCACATCCCCAGCCCCCACTCCCACTTTTAAAAAATATTCTATTAGTTGTAGAAGGACACAATACCTTTATCTTATTTGTTTATTTTTATGCAGTACCAGGGATTGAACCCAGTGCCTCACACATGCTAGGCAAGCGCTGTACCACTGAGCCACAACCCTGGCCCCTCCCCAGCCCTTTTATTTCTTATTTAGAGGCAAGTTCTTGCTAAGACACTTAGGGCCTTGCTAAATTACTGAGGCTGGCTTTGAACTTGTGATCCTCTTGCCTCAACCTCCCGAATTACACTGGGATTACAGGTGTGCACCCCCGCGCCCAGCTCTGCAGTGTTATTTCTCCATTTCTTTCTGCCTGCTCATATTCCCCTTACACCCCAAACAACACCTCCACTCCACATACCCCCAGCCCCAGCACGCTGTCACTTCTACAACATACTCACATCTGACTTCAGCAGCAGGAAGCAGAATGGGCAGATCTTGGCTAGAAAAATAGGGTAACTTCCTGTTTCAGGTCTATTCGATACTGTGCAGCAACCCACATCTGAGACTTTTTACAGGACTTCTGTTCACGGGGCCTGGGGAGTTTCAAATAGGAACTGAGCCAAATAGTCCAATATTTTTAGTTTCTTGCTTTCTATACTTTACATGGTTATCGCTTTGAGAAAGCAGTAGCATAAAAAAGATCGGAAGCAGGGAGCCCTAGTGCACAGATGCAATCCCAGGGGCTCAGGAGGAGGATCACAAGTTCAAGGGCAGCCCCACTGGGAACTCTGGGGAGATGCCCAACAGGAAGCACCCTATCTAGCCCCTCCCCTGTCAGATGTCCCTGCACCTGCCTGTGCCACAAGACATCCCTGTCCAAATCTTCTCTGTGTCACAGGATGAGAGCCACTAGGTGGGTATTTTAAGGACAATCTCCTGTACTTGAAGGGGGAATGCTGCTGCCCTCTTAAATGACAAAGAGGTGTTTGTTTCAGGTAAGGCCCTCCAAAGACACTTACGAGGGGCCAGCCTGTTCCCCTTGTCACTCTGACTCAGTGAGTCAGACCTGAGATAAACTTTGCTCATTATAACCATCAATTCTGACGGTTTTGAACATGCCCTATATGAAGAAGCATGACCTTGAACTGTGCGTACTCTGGAATGTGCTTCCTCTACACGTGATGGTCTACACTGTGGCGCCCCCTGTAGGGCTATGCCTGGCATAGAAAGTTGACCCGCAGGCTCAATTTGCCCCAAGAAAAGCCCCTTGCTGTCCTTTTGCGGGAGGGGTTGCTTCAGGAACGATCTACAGTGCAGTCTCTATTTTCCAAGGGTAAGGCATTTTTTTCTTCGCTCTATCTTCTGGTTGGACGTATCAGTTTTGCACTTTCCCCTGGGCAAACCCATTGCATTTGGTTACTGAAACAGCCCCCACCCCAGCATGCATACAGCTTGCCTGTGTCAGAAGAAACTCCTCAGGGCTGGAGTTGTGGCTTGGTGGTAGAGAGCTTGCCTAGCATGTGTGAGGCACAGGGTTTGATTCTCAGCACCGCATATGAATAAAGGTCCATTGACAACTACAAAAAAGGAAAAAATTCCTGAACACAGAAACAGAGAAGTGTGTGCTGTGGGACAATAGACCACTAATCTGAGAGACAGTGATTCTAAGAGCCTGTTGGAGGTGCTAAGCTGGTTTAGCAGGAAGTAGGAAAAAAAAAAAGAATATTTGCACCTTTAAGATGCTTAGAGGAGCCAGGTAGGGTGGCACACACCTGTAATCCCAGCAGTTCAGGAGGCTAAGGCAGGAGGATCCTGAGTTCAAAGCCAGCCTCAGCAATGGTGAAGCAGTAAACAACTCAGTAAGACCGGGTCTCTAAATAAAAACACAAAATAGGGCTGGGGATGTGGCTTAGCGGTGGAATGCCCCTGGGTTCAAACCCTGGTGCTAAAAAAATTAAAAAAAAGACATTTAGAGGATTGAAGGGTAAAACCCCAGTTATATATGTGTGTCTCCTAACTTTTCTTCCTCGGAGAGAATTAGTAAGCAGCACAGACATCATTGACAAATTGAGCCTGGGGGTCAACTTTCTATGCCAGGCATAGCCCTACAGGGGGCGCTACAGTGTAGCTCTCTTCACTGAGGGTATTTTATTTGTTTGCTTATTTATTTATTTGGTGCTGGGGATTGAAGGCAAGCACTCTACCAACTGAGCAATATCCCCAGCCTGGTATTCTTTTTTTCTTCACTTTCTACTTCTCATTTTCCGAGGGAGGGCTGGAGACTCTTTGCAAAACTACCTCCTGTCATAAATAATTTTTTTCCTTTGTATTAATCCAGTTAACTCACATGGCCACCTCCCCCCCCCCCCCCAATCAGATAAATTTAGGAAGAACTCTCTCCAGTAAATGGTCTGTCAGGTCCTCTCACTTGAGGACTAATTATTGCTTATCCCCAGAACATGAAATGGTTGTCTCTCCTTGGGTCTGTAAGCAGAGCTGTCTTAGTGGATCCCCTGTGATTTCATTTCATTCTGGTTTTAATGCTTATTTAGCAACCAAACCATTTTCCTTTCCTATTAGTGTTATGGAGAAATTTTCTGGGTTGGGGGATTTTTGTTTCTAATTATGTAAAAGGATAAAATTATAACTATTTGGTTTAACAATCTTAATTGGTTTTATTTTTGACTCTTAAATCAGGCAATACTTTACACAGATCGGGAAAGTATATTAAAGAGCTGAGCAAAGGAGGTTGGTTTTGTACACAGAGATTAAAGAAAGCAGAAACACCACTAGCAACAATAGCAGATGTCATTCCAAAGTTACTTTCCTTGTGAGGTGGGGGACAGGGAGGCAGAACAATGGAAAATTAACTGATTGGTTAGCATCAGAGGCCATATATATATATATATATATATATATATATATATATATTTTTTTTTTTTTTTTTTTTGCAGTACTGGGGAGGGATTAAACCCAGAGTCTGCACAGGCTGGGCAAGTGCTCTTCCATTGAGCTACCCCATCCCTTTCTTATTTTATTTCAAGACAGGAGATCCTGCTCAGCTGCCCAGGCTGGCCTGGAACTTGGGATCCTCCTGCCTCAGTTCCCTAAGGGATTATAGGTGTGTACCACCTTGCCCCTTTTTGTGTAAGAATTAAGGCAGAGGTGACTTCATTATCAGGAAGATTGAAAGTACGAAGCCAGTCTAGGTAACTTTGAGAGACCCTGTCTCAAGATAAAAATTTTAAAAGAGGTAATGGTGGGGCTGTGGATGTAGCTCAGTGGTAGAGCGCTTGTCTTGCATGTGCAAGGCCCTGGGTTCAATCCCAATACCACAAAATGAATAAATAAAATAAAGGTTACCTTTATGTTCTGCAGACAGATCAATATTCCTAAATATTATGATCTTGCTCAAAATTCTATCATGATACCACATGGCCTGTGGGATAAAGTGCAATTTACATTTAATATAAATTGATATTTAAGATCCTTTCTGTTCAAGATACTGGGGAGGGAACCCAGGGCCTTGTGCCTGCTAAGCCAATGCTCTACCACTGAGCTACAGTTCCAGGTCCTTAGCCATCCAAGTGCCTGCCTGGAGGGGTATCTCCAGCTGTGGCTCTCACTGCCCACAGCCTCCAACTGGACCTCTCTCATTGTTGATGACGCTGTTCTTTTTTCTTTTTGGTGGTGCTGGGGATTGAACCCAGGGCCTTGTGCATGCAAAGCAAGCACTCTACCAACTGAGCTACATCCCCAACCCAACATGCTGTTCTTGTATTCTTTTGCCATAGCTGTTCCACTTGCATTTTCTTTATAACTTTTTCAATATTATTCACATATTAAAGAAAAAGAATTCAAGAGAGAACCTTACTTCCATGACTACAAAATGAAAAAAATCATTATGATTTGTCATATAGGCAACAAAAAACATTAAAAGATTAAGCAAATGTTTTAAAAGTCAGCTAGGTGTAGTTGCCTGCTAAAGGCTTTGAGTCTGCAGGTAGTTTTCTCCTTATTAAAACATGAAATTCACAACTGTTAAAGAAGAGACAAAACCATAGGAGAAAAAAAAATGTGATTTTCTTCCTCATTGTGGATACTGCTTTTTTTTTTTTTTACTTTGTTATTTGATATTATTTAATTCCAGACACTTCTGCTTTGCAAAATGTTGCCATTGTTAATGTGTTCTATATTTTTGGAAATACTGTGTCAGACAAAAAAAAAAGAGTTACTCAAGGGACCATCTTCTTGCACCTTATAGTTTCCTTTGTGAGAAGGGAACTCAGTTACCATAATTTCTGTCATTTGTCCCAGAAGAAAAAGGGATTTATCTAATTTATAAATTTATATGGAGTTGATGGTGTATGAGGTTCAGCCCCTGTCTTCTTTCTCTTGGGGGCTAGTTGGCCCTCAAGGGAAATCAGTTATTTGCTCCATTTAGATCTTCCTTGAGCAGACCCCTTGCCCTGGTAGACATTGCATATCCATCTAATTTGGGAATCCAAATAACAGGTCCATTTGATTCTGACTCTAAGCTAGATTCTGTTAATGGATTTTTAAAAGGTAAAAGCATGCTTTTCATACATATGTAAGAATGAAGATAAGCATTTTGCCTAACTCATTAATGAGAAAACTAGAGAAAGTCTCGAGCAATTCAAAGGAGAATGAAACAAGCCACACATTTATGGATCTGGAATATTTAAATAAATATTTGAAGGGAAGAAAACTGGTTTTTCACAGTGGGCTCTGGATAAAATTTATTTTCATGTCTTTAGGCAAGAAAAGGGATAATGCTCTTATTTTGTCTGTAGATAGGAATTGCTTGATTTTGCTATCAGTAATCTGCAGCTTATGTAATTGCAAACGAGCTCTTATACAATCCAGAGCCGATAACTGGGATGGGATTTTATCAGTAAATGAATGGAATTGCAATATTAACTGGACTCTTATCTAATGATTCAAGTAGTTCCAAATGCTGGTGTGGGAACAAGATGTATTTGTTGGGCCTCTTGTTTCTCTTCATTATTACTCTAATCCTTCAGCATTACCGTTCCATAAGATGTTGCTTGTTAAAAATTTTTTTAGTTGATTTTTTTACTGGGGTAAAATAGTGTTAGCATAAAAATCATTTGAAATATATATATATTATATATATATTTTTTTAATTTATTCTTTTTAGTCATACATGACAGTAGAATGTATTTTTGACATATTATTTGGAGTACAACTTCCCATTCTTGTGGAATTTGAACTACTTTTAAAGGAGTAACTCAGTGAAGTACATTCACACAGTCATGTAACCTTCACCACCACGGAAACCCATGACTGTAGCCCTGGACCCAGGAAGCCCTACCCTCCACCCCAGTCAGCACCGTTTTGCTCTCTGTCTCTATGATTTTGAAGACTTTGCTTTTCACATCTCCCTGTCAGGCCCATTCTGCCTACCCCCTGTGGGAACATGGAGCCCAGCCCTGCCCTGCCTTCTGGCCCATCTGAGCGTCCACCCACAGGCTTCCTACCTCTCCACCAACAGAGGCTTCAGGAATGACAGTGGCCTCCTCCAGCTCCTGATGACTGTGTCTTCTGAGGCACCTTCTCACAGCTTTATTTCTCTGCTATTTGTATTACCGTGAAGATTCTCTCCAAGTAGATCTCTTAAGTGCAGCAACCGTGATGACTGATTTGGGCAGGAAAATATAATAAATAGCATAAGATACTTGGGGGGT